CCCTCCACCCGCGTTGGCGCCCCCTCCCGAGCTGGGCCCAGCGTCGCGCCCCTGCCCCTGTAGATGCAGGAGGCCTTGGAGAGCGGGCGCCGCAGCGAGGAGGACCGCCGCTCGAGGCAAGAGCAGCAGCGGGCCGAGTTGCAGCAGCGCGTGGACGAGGTGCACACGGAGGCCGAGAACCTGGAGGCCCGCTTCCAGAACTTTCGCGGGCAGCTGGAGAAGCTCAAGACCGGTGAGCACCCGCCCCGGCTTCTTCATCTGGAAGGATGTGATGAGCAGGCGGAGAGCCCTGCCCCGGCCGGCCACGCGGAGACCTTCCGCGGACCACTCTGTGTACTCCCTTGTCGTCTGTCCCATATCCATCCAACCATCCATTCACTCATCCATCATCCATTCTGCATCCAGCCAGCCAGCCATCCTTCATCCAGCCATCCTTCATCCAGCCATCCTGCATCCATCCATCTATCCTGCATCCATCATCCATTCATCCTTCCAGTGTGGAGTCCATGAGAGTCAGGCAGCCCTGGCTTTGAATCCCAGCTCCACCATTTGTGAACTTTGGTGTGTGGTTTCCTCTGTTGGAGCCCCTCCGGAAGTGGAATGGCAGTGCCTAGTTTGTAGGGTCGGCATGAGAATTAGATGGGATGAGGGATGGAGAGAGACTGGGAGGTGGCAGTGGTGGTGGGGAGCAAGCCGGAGGGCCACCTCGCGCTGCACGGTCGGAGCTCAGGTATTGGCAGACCCTCTTTACCTCTGTTGTAGGGACTGCGGTGACAAGCCCTGTGCTAGGTGGTGAGGATGGGCAGGGGGAGGGTGGGGAAGAGGCTGACACGGGCTCTGGATACTCATAACCCAGGGGCCGGGAGGGAGGACACCTTGGGCCCTGCAGGAGGAAGGGTATGCCTTAACTCAGAGTGGAGTGCAGGACCAGGATTTGGGGGGCCCAGTGCAGAATGAAAATGCGGGCCCCCTTGTTTACAAACTGGCAAGAATTTCAAGTGACAAGAGCAGAGCATCAGACCAAACGTGGGCCACTTCTCGGCACAGGGCCCTGTGCCCATGACATTGGCTCTGCTGGGGTCACAGGGGAGGTCTCCTGGGAGCCATGATGCTTGAGGCTGATTTTGAAGGATGAGTATTTAACCAAAAAACTGGGGAGAAGGGATGCTGCCAGCAGGCGGGGCCAAGGCTTGGAGGTGCATCCAGGAAGGCAGGTTCTTCGTGCAGAGAGGGCGTGGGTGGGAGTTGAAGAGGGTCAGATCCTGAACGGATGCCAGGCTGAGGCTTTTTCCTGGGGGTGCTGGGGAGCCATGGGAGGGTTGTGAGCAGGAGAGGGGGGTGGATAGGAGGGAGAGGGGTGAGGATGGAGAGAGAGAGATGGAGCACAGAGGTGTCGGGCTGAGGGGCTATGGGGGTGTGAGGGCTGAGGCACCGGGGGTCTGGCCCGGTGAGGGTGCATCGCGGAACCTGGGAGGAGGAACTGCTCTGGGGGGTGAGCCTGACCTCAGTGTGAGTGGTATTGCGGACTGTTCGGAGAGGGACCCCAGGAGGAAACTGAATATGAGCCTGCAGCTCAGGTCGGGGAGGCAGGGGAGGGTGGTAGGGATGCCACAGGCTGGGTGCAGATTTCTGTCAAGGTCATGGGTGCATCTTATTTCATTCACAATAACCAGTTAACTAAATACAAGCGGGCCAATTGTGAGAGCGGGTCACAGCCTTGGTGCTGCTGTGAATTTCCTCCACTTTCTCCCGTGGAGCACGTGTGTGTGTTTCTTTGGGAGAAGCACATCCTGGGCCGTGGACTCGCTGGGTTGGGTGGAAGCTGGGTGATTCTGAGCCGTGAGCAGAGGACTGGCCGTGTGGAGGTGCCCTTGTCACATTTTCCTTGGACTTCCCTCGCTTTTTGCCCTCTGTCATCTGGAACCCGTTGGGTCTGAACTTGGGCAAGTCCCTTTGCATCTTTGAGCCTCGCTTGGGCAGCAGGGCCTTGAGGAGAGGAGAGGGTGGCACCCCGTGGGCACCGGATCCATGATGGCCTGTCCCCTCTGACCCCAGATATCCAGCGCCTCTTCACCAGGGCCCAGTGTGACAGCACGGTCATCAATGACCTCCTAGGGGTCAAGATCCACATGAGAGACCGGGACATAGGCCTCTTCCTGGGCCTCATAGAGAAGCGGCTGGTGGAGCTCCTGACAGTGCAGGCCTTCCTCGAAACCCAGGTTGGGGTGCAGACGGTGCAGAGGGGGGGACAGGGTGCCGGGGCCTTGGAGATGGGGCTGAGCGGACCACTGGCTTCTCCACCCTCCAGAACAACCTCTCTGCCAGCTCGCCTAATGCTGCCCTCCTGGTGCTGGGCCAGAGCCCCGAGGATCTTCCCAAGAAAGTGGCCCCACCTCAGCCCCCTGACAATCTGTGAGTCAGAGGGCAAGGGTCAGGGAGCTTCCACGGGGGCCGAGGAGACAAGGGAAAGGAGGGTTTTCAGGTGTGGGCGGGCCCCTGGGACTGGAGGGTGAGTGGGGCTCAGGGGCGGGGGGAGGAGAAGGTGAAGTGGGTACTTCGGGGGGATCAGAAGGAGTAAGGGCTCCAGGGACATTCGATGGGGCCCTGGGCGGACCCGAAGGGGAAAGGGCGCTCAGAGCCCGGCGCACGGCTGAGGGTCTCAGGCCTAGCAATGAGGCGCCATCGGCCTTCTGAAGGTCGAGGAGTAGAGTCCCTTCCTGCCTCCCACCCACCTTAGTGAGGACCCCCCAGGCTTTGAGGCCAACGACGACTACCCGCTGAGCGAGGGGGAGCTGCTGAGCTACGTGGTGAAGTCGGTGAGGATGGGTGCCCGCGGGTGCGGGGCGGCTCTTCCTCCTCTGGGGCCCTAACTCGCCTCCCCCGCAGCTGGAGGCCCGGGAGCAGGCGAGGGGTCAGTACCTGAAGCAGCAGGCCGAGGCCGTCACGAAGGTGGACAGCACCCCGAGCGTGACCCTCTCCAGCACCCAGGCCAGCTCCGGCCTGCCCCTGCTGCCCAAGAGCCCCAGCGCTGTCCCCGGCTCCCTCACGAGCCACAGGGCTAGCGGCATCCTGGCGTCCAGCGCAGGCCGCGCCACCAGCTCCAATGTCGGCCGCGTCACCTTTGGGGACCCCAGCCCCAGCGCAGGCCACGCGACCTTCGGCTCCACCAGAGCCGTCACCGGGGGACTTACTTTCAGCCGGGGCTCGACTGAGGGCCGCGTGATCTTCACATCCCCCAACTCTAGCAGCTACCTGGGGTCCAGTGGATACTTGGGGTCCAGCAGAGGCCACGAGAGCTTTGGGGACCCGGAGAGCAAAGGCCCTGAGTCAGAATCGAGTGGAGGCCCCGAGTCCAACAGAGGCCAAGTCTCAAGCACTGGCCCTGCCTCTAGCACCGGCCGGGTCTCCACCACCAGCAAAGATCCCCAGAGCAACTACTAGGGGCACCGAGCCCCAGCCCGGCCCCTGGCTCCTTGCAGGGCCTTCTCTGGGTCTCTGCCTCTCAATTTCCCCTGTGCCTCTCCATCTTTCTCACCCAGCTCAGGGTGACCTGCCTGCACACCTGTCTGCATCTCCCCTTCACTATGTCTCTGCATCTCTTCCCATCAGCTCCCTCATCTGTCGCCTGGTCCCCCTCTCCGTTTCCAACCTGCCCTTCCCTTTCGGTTCCCTAATCTTCTGTTCTCTAGGCTTCCCGTTCAGTGTGTCTCTGTCCTGTCTCCATGTTTGTCTCCCCGTCTCTGCTCTGACCTCGCTGATTCCCCCCCACCCCCCGTTTCCGCTTCCCCGTTTCTAACTCCCTCTCCTCTCCGTCTCCCAGGCGCTCCTCGCACCTCATGCCCCTGTCTCTGTAGCCCCTCCTTCCTTGTCCTCAAGAGTCCCCAGTACCGACCAGTGGGGGAAGGATGGGGGCAAAGACATCAGGGTCAGCATGAGCTGTGACCACAGGAAATAAAGGCCAGAGTCTGATTCCTACCCCAGCCTGGTTACAGGCGTATATGTGAGTGAGTGAGCATAAGACATGGCTGTTTCCTCTACCTTTGGCCCAGGAGAAAATGTATGACCCTGTCCCTATTCCCTGCCATTCATTCATTTTCTCACTTTTTTTTTTTTTTTTGAGACTTGCACATTTCAGGCTCTACTGAGAACCAGAAACTATATCAGTCACGATAGGCTGGGTTATGCTGCAGTAAGAAGCAACCCCAGAATCTCAGTGTGTACCTTTAAAATTTTTTAATTTATATTTTGGAATTCTTCATATCTCAAGAGAGGGGACTGAAAGCAGCATGTCAACCTTGCTACCTCAAAATTGCACAGGAAAGAAAAAAACTCCAAATTGCCCCCAAATTGCCCACCACGTCGTTGATTAATTAGCTTTAATCAAGACATACAAACAATATAAATAGTGACACAGAAAGAAAGTATTAAAGAAAAATAAGGGACCTAGAACTCACTTTGTTCTCACAAATGCAGTTCAACACACAGGCTTTATAAGAATGCTTTAAGAACACAAAACCGTCTTCAAAATTGGACTCAAAAAATTGGACAAAATTGGAGGTGACTCTTGCCTGTGTGTGTCGGGGCTGCGAGCAGGGGTCGCCACCTTCTACGCTCAGCCATCCCGGAAGTCCAGTCATCGGTGGGCCTGGCACCGTTTGCTAATTTAGTACAAATGTGGGCTCACTAGTTTTGTTTGTAAGATAATTAATCCATCAGAGGCATGGGATTTAGTTTCCCATCGTGAGGGAAAGGGCTATCGATCTTGTGATCTAATGAGAAAGCTTACCTGTATTTATTCAGTTTACAGGCAGGATGTTAAAAGCAGGGCAGCAAATGATCAAGACAACCCAGCAGGGTGAAAGCCTTCTCCTGGAGGGAATAGTCACTGGACCTGACCACAACTCCTACAGTTCTGGGCATGGTAGAAAACATTTTTGTTGAAATCACTTCTGAGAAATATTCATAAGGAACAGGAGATGTTGGAATGAATTGTTAATTTTCACAGTCTCTTTAGTGCACAGTACAAAGTTAATAATTTTGTAAAAGTTCTCCCCTGCACACCGTATCAAATCAGATCCTTTGAATTAACGATATGATGCAGAATCCCATCTCTTCCCTAACAGTTGCAGGGGAGGGGGACTCTCCATCTCTTTTCTGGTTGATTTGACAAACATTTATTGAGTACTTACTATGTGCCATACAGGGTACTAGGCTCTGGGGATATAACAGTGAACAAGAAATTTAAAAACGGGTATTTCAGGAAGGCGATGGAAATGGCAACTCCCTAGGATGTGGCTTCTGGAAGTTAGGCTGTCATTCTCACTTTCTCCTTTGGGACCTGGGAAGTCTCATCTTGGCGGGGGGCAGAGTCATGACGACCGGCCCTATTTGCCATCCCAGAGGGACTTCCTCTTTCTCTCCTAAGACAGGACAATGAGTACAGAGAACCCAGACCCTCAGGTCTCCCCTCCCAAAGTGGTCTCAAACCCCTATAGCAGGAGGCGTTCAGCCTTAAACACCCCACCCCGAGTCTCAGCCACCGCAAGGATCCTAGAGCTACACTGAGCAGAGCCTCCCCTGGTCCAGGGGCTGGGCTCACCATCTATGGATGGTCAACCTTGTGGCAACAAGCTCAGAATAGAACTGAGGCCACTTAAAGAAAAGTCAGAGAATCAAACCCAGAATCCTCTTGGTTCCCAAGTAAGACAGCACTACCCTCGGGGTCATAGTCACATCCCCTGTGGCTCAGGGTGGAAAGAGGGATGGAGGACGCAGGCTTGCTGGGCCAAGGCTGTAGCCAGGAGACAAAAAGAGTGGGCTGCTGATACCTGCTTTCAAGTGGGGGTGATTTTTGTGGCGGTGGCAGTGGTGGTGATTGTGGTGATGTTGGTGATGGCCGTAGTGGGGATGGCGATGATGATGGTGAATGAAGGTGGTGACAGTGATGATGATCACGATGTGATGCTGATGGTGACAGAAGGGGATGTGATGATGACGATGACGACCGCGGTGACGATGGTGATGGTGGTGATGGTGACAGTGGTGTTGGCAATGATGCTGCGAGTGCCACCTCAATGCAGATTCTTTATTGCCGTCTCAGATTCATTTTGTAACATAAGAAGACTTGGATTTTTTAAGCCTGAGCTCGGGAATATCATTCATTTACATTATACAGTAATAAGAAAACAGCAGACCAGTGCAGCTCAATCTTATTGGCAAAATGGAGAAAGGACTAAATTAAATTGTACTCAATAGCAGTGAAATTTGGAGCATTTAGTGATTTCTCTGCTTTAGGACTGAGGCAGAAACTGGCACTGTCGCATACAACCTGTGTGGATTTGGACAAGTGTCTTCACCTCTCTGAGATCCGTTCATCTTGAAGTCAGAGGGGGAATCCCTGGAGGCGTGATCAGGGGATCTGACCAACGTTTAAAAACAGGAATACAGTAGAATAAAAAACATCATGCAGTACAGGGTGGTATTTGATGAAACCATGTTAATGTGAAATGATTTCTTACTGCGCGTCATGGCCAGGAAAGTTTGGAAGCCACTGGTAGATGGCACCCATCATCATACACTGATTTTCAGACGACTGCCCACTAATAACACCCGATATCAACTCCCTTTCAGATGTCGATTCCGCTTCACCCAAAGCAAACGTTCCGGGTCTCCCAGCGGCTCTGTCTTAGCAGAGCTCCGCCGCCAGGTGGCGCCCGTGCCCCGCCGTGAGCGGATTCTTCTCCGATCTGACTCAGCCCAAGCTGGTGATTTCCTTGGGGTCCCCCCTCGCCCCGAGGATCGAGTTTACTGGGACTGAACGTCTTGACCACGAATAGAATTCCCCGAGCAGAGCACGGCAGGAGGGCGCAGGAGGTCACGAAGGGATGTGGCCATCCTAAGATATCCACTCATCCCTTCTTGATTCCACAATGTTCATTAAATGCCTGTGTGCACCAGACGAGGTCCCCCCACCCAGAGCTCACATCCTGATGGGGGAGGACGGACAAGATCCCAAATTCAAGACCCCACCAGTACAGGGAAGCCTACCCACCTAGTGCGGTGCAGGACGGCACGAGGTAGAATCTCGCCCGCCCCCAGCCGGCTGTGACCTTGGGCAGCTTGCTTAGCCTCCCTGTGCCTCAGTTTCCCCTGCTACAAAATGGGACTAATAGCACCCACTTCATAGGGTTGTCGTGAGCATTAAATGAGTTAATATTTGTAAAGTACTTAGAAGGGGCCTATGTCTGTTAAACCCAGTGTTTAAAATTCTCATTTGACAGGGCTTCCCTGGTGGCGCAGTGGTTGAGAGTCCGCCTGCCGATGCAGGGGACACGGGTTCGTGTCCCGGTCCGGGAAGATCCCACATCCCACTCCGCGGAGTGCGGCGGGGTGGCTGGGCCCGTGAGCCATGGCCGCTGAGCTTGCGCGTCCGGAGCCTGTGCTCCACAACGGGAGAGGCCACAGCAGTGAGAGGCCCGCGTACCGC